TTGCGATGAAAAGCAGGTAGATTTCAAGGGATTAGCAAAACTCATTTATTGAAGACGTCGGGAAGGAAAAGTTAGACGAAAACGGCGGCGGCGGCGCGTACACTCGCGGAAAAGTTGGCAGAAAGTTATGTCTGGCGTACGACGGAGAAAAATTGCACACCTCATCCTGAGACGGCAGTGAGAAAGTGGTCGCGGTAGGATAAAAATAACAATTAATGGCTTTTTAGACAATCTCCTACACTATCTATGTCGGAAGGCAAGCTCTCATGGCGCCTGGTAGGTAGGCAACGTCGTCTCTGCAATGCATGCGTGTACTGCGGGCTGGCCTACCCTGGCCCTCGCAGGCGCTATGCTCGCTCCCACATATCGCAACAATATTTCCTCATGTTCAACTCAGTGGACCGTGCCGGGCCTACCTGAAAAACAGAGTTAGTGACTTAAAGAACAGGATCAGCGTCACCGGTAGGTCAGGCATTGGGCACGTGTAAGTGCTCACTTCGCGACGGTTGCACGTGAGTATGAAAGTAGCATGAGGTCCGCGTTGAGGTGCCTGGACGGTACCCATACCCAGATGTGGCCCAGCTCTCTCTGTTGGACGGCCTGTATGAGTCCCCGGTCCAGGTCGGGACGCAGGTCGCGATGTCCTGGATTGCGGCCTGACCCGAATCCGGGTGCACTGGGTCCCGGGGTGCAGATGGCCAAGGTCGCACTGTTGGACGGCCAGGTCGGGTCCCGTCCCGGGTGAGTCCCGTCCCTCCCCGCCCCCACCAGCCTGACCCTGTTAGCTGAGCACCCAATTATATTCCTGGCAGGCCGGCGCAAGAAGTGAGAGTGGTGGGCCGGGTGTGGCCGGGGGAGGGGAGGAGGGTGGACGGGGTGAACGGAACGGAGGCGTTTAACAAGAAAAGCAGTAGGGTGTGCACGGCAACACGGGGGGACGGCGGAGGGGGAGCGGACACGAGCCGCTGCGGCGCGAGAGTAGAAACACCATTCGCCCAACCCATGTCTGCATCACAGCCGAAGAGGAGCAGCCGAACAGCGTGACGTCACAACTAATCCGATATCCGGCCGGCGCTGCTCAGGAAGAGCAAAGCAAGAGCTTTAGCAGCCGAAGGGAGAGACAGGCAAACAGACCGGGCCGCCCAACAGCGCGCCACATCGGGCTGCCTGTCGTCTCAGCCCCAGCAACGCGCACAGGCGCAAGCAAAGCTGGGCCGGGCCGAGGCCATTCACCGCTATGCCAGAGACGATAAGTTCTCCAGTGAGAATACACTGGTAAAACAAAGGTAGGACATCCTACCTTTAAAAGGCGTTAAAGCTCCAAAGGCATTACAATTCCTGTTTTTTCGAAATATTTCTTTCCCATGGAACAACATTGGATTCTAAAACCTATTTTCGTAATCTACGCAAAATTTCGCGTCAAACGAGCCTACATATGATGGGGTTCTGCTCAAAAATGGCATAGATTGATTTCATTTTTTGTACTTTTTGACTTGCTTTTCATTTGCCGACTGCTTATCTGAACCCTATCACATGTAGGCTCGTTTGACGCAGAATTTTGCGAGGAATGCGATAATGAATCTGAAAATGTGATTGGTTTGCTCATATAGAAAATATTTTGAAGAAACTGAAAATATACTCTTTAACACCCCTAAAACGAGTTTAACGCCCCTGGAAAGGTAGGACATCACACCTTTGTTTTTCCAGTGTATCAACGCCAAAACGAAAGAAAGAACCTACAACCAGGTAACTGTGATACTGTACGACACACTGTTAAAAGCTTACAGTGAATTTCACTGTAAGCTACGGTGAACCCCTGCAGCACCGTAGGCTACGGTGACATTCGCTCTAGCTCTAGGCTACGGTGAATACCACTGTAAGCTACGGTGAATTTCACCCGAGGCTACGGTGAATATCACCGTAAGCTACGGTGCTGCAGGGGTTCACCGTAGCTTACAGTGAAATTCACTGTAAGCTTTTAACAGTGCACTTGAATTTCCAGTGTTGCTTCGGTAGTGGTCGATGTTTTCCCCTGCCTCGTTTTACCCGTTTCTCGGTTTGTTGGCGTAGCGTGGGGAGCCGGCGGCCACATTATATACATCTTATTGATTCCTCATACACCCGAGCGGCTCCTGTCGTGAACCCCCGGGGGCAGGGGGCGCAAACCACGCAATGCGCTGGGCAAGGGCAAACTGTGGGAAGAACCAGCACGACTACCTCAGGTCAGGTCCACAGAAAAAGTATGTGCGTCTTTGCATCGTTAAAAAAAATCTTTATCACCATCGTTAGGCTGCATCGGTAAGAGTTTATGTTCCTATGATATTTTCTCGCAGATTCAATACTCGACTGCTTTAGCAAATAATTGGCCCGACTGGCTGCTCATAGTTGTGTTCGCAAAACTACACATCTAGCTCGAGGCGTTTACGCCTTCAATACACAGGTATGCAGTCAAAAGTGTCAGTAACAGAAAACCTACAATCAGAAAAGACCTATCTAGTGCAAATACATCCTGTTAGACATTTTTCCAACAGCAAAAAAAAATCTACCTCAAAAGTTCGGCGCACAATACTAATCGATAAGGGCGCCTTGTTCGGGTAAAAGTAATAATACATAAATATGAGCGTGTTTGCTTCATTAGGTGGGGCCCAACGCTCAGCACAGCGCGCCGTATCCATCAACGTCATATCAAGCTCTTTAATGATGGCGCCCAAAGTGCCTCGCGACCGCTGCAGCGCGCTGTTGTGGGGCGGTGGGTCGCAACGCCTCGCACCATGCTGCATTGCGGTGCTGCTTATGTCGGCTCACTTGACACATTGCAAATCTTTTTCGCCCCTGTCGACATTCGAGCTGAATGGCGCGGGCACGTGAGTGCTCGAGCGATAAAAATCGTATAAATCCACAAACGAAATGCATAAGGATTTTTCTAAGTGTACACTGAAAATGCCAGAGTCTTACTCTCAGGAGAGTGAGATCAGAGACACAAAAAATCTTACTCTCCTGAGAGCGAGATGTCTGACCCTCACTCAAATTTGAGTCATAATTTGCGGTCCTCACCCATGGAGAGTGAGGTTCCTCACCGCAATTGGGCGAGGTCAGGGAAATCATACTCCTCCAGAGTGAGAATTCGGTGCATATGACTCCAATACGGTGAGCCTTACAGTCATCGCTCTGATTAAGCGAGGCAAAATTGTCTCACTCATTTCGAGCACGACACCTCACTCAAGGTGGCCCTCCAATGAAACTTGGAACCCATCACCCATCATTTCAGATTTTGCTGGTTTTGATGCTGCCTGAGTTTTCCTTAATGTAATTTGGAAGTTTAGTAATGCATTAAATACATTTTCAAAGATTATGAACATGTTTGAGTGACCATATACGGGTCTACTCATATATGATGGGTACTGATGGGTTCCTCATAGAAGCACCCTAGTGCCCGCAAAATTTGTGAAAATGTGTTTATTGCATTACTAAACTTCCAATTTACATTTAGCAAACTTGGGCTGCATCAATAACTGCAAAATCTGAAATGATGGGTGATGGGTTCCAAGTTTCATTGGAGGGCCAGCTTCAAAGGTTTTCAGTGTACGGTATAATGTTTACTGTGCGCTAGCTTGACGGACTTGCTGTAGTCGCGTCGCACGGGAACGGAGCAACACTGTTATCTTCGCTCAACTATGCACGATCTCGGGAGGGAGGATCTCCACTTTAAACTTAATGTAAGAACTCTACCCAAAATACAGTTAACGTGTTGAGTGCGGCGTGACCCACACCGTGGGTCCCAATAACATAGGATTGCCTATCTGCGCCGCTCTCAACGTGCACTGTTAAAAAAATTCCTGTAAATTTACAACGAAAGTGTGATTAATTTTGTTAGCAGCACATACTGTATTTTTACAGGCATTACTGTAAAAGAGCAGCATTAATCAAAATCTCGGGAACCAAGTTTTCGACCGAAAGCCGTTACTTTTGTTTTGCTGTTTTGTTGTTGGCAATTCCACACATGAGCAACGAACTCTTCGATGGCACTACATTCTCCAGTTCTAGCAAAATCCAATAACGTAGCAGCAAACACTATTGTCCTTGTCATCGTATCCAGTTTACGTTCCAGAAAAATATTTATTTGATGCCTGAGCATGCACATTCTTTGCGCCAATGCCTGATCTATTTAGCGCCTAGCACCAAAGGCGGCGGCACTAGACGCCTTTTGCCCCAGGAGCTAGCTAAACACTATAGTGCGTCCAAAAACTTTCGGCTTGGGCACTAAAAGTTTAGTGCCTAGCGCCAAAAAAAATTCTCATTGCACAGCCCAGCTGCTCATCAGAGCAGTATAAACTCAAATTACTGCCTCAAAAATCCCGGCTTGAATGGAACAGCCTGTACAACGCTAACTCGAGGACAGGTTTAGACACAGTCCACCAAGCTGTGATAGTGGACAATTAGAACCCTATCGCGTAGTGGTTCGTTTGAAAGCTCGTTTTACGATAAAGTTGGAAATGTCATCCACTTTCAACTCTGCTTATCGTTTCACCATCGATCTCACAAAGTCAAAGACAATGCCGTCCGCTGACTTCTGCGTGGCACCGCCGTGTGGCGCGGTATCTGAGGTGCCGTCTGGGTGTGGATTGACGTAAAGCCGTACCATGCCCATGTTATTGTTATTTGTCTTGATTTTTGCGATGAGAAGGTAAGTACTTCCAAGGTAATTTCTTTAACTAAACCGTTGGTTGGTTTCCGGATACCTGGCTTCAGTTCCAGAAACCAGTAGTATTTTTGATTGTCAAAACCAACGAACGAGGTAGGTAGCGACGCCGTTGTTGGGGAGAATAACAAAAGCATACCTCACTCCAGTGTGCCCCCTACGACCCCCTATTAGATAAAATACCACAATCTCGTCTAGGAGGCCAGTTACAAGTTTGATAATCCGGAAAATAATTGACAACGTTTAAGAAACCCAAACAACTTTCAATGAGAGGCCGCACGGTATCACCTGTGACACCTACCGATATCGAGATGCCTCGCAACGCGCGCGATCACCGCGGGATGTCAGCTTGATTTTACGATCATGTCCACTTTGCTGACGAACGGGCGCCGACCCCCCATTTTCGCGCAGGTACACACGCGCCGAAGCGCGAGCCAAAAATGAAGAATGGCCAACACACGCACACACGGGAGAAACACGCGGTCCCAACGAGGCAGTCGAAACAGTCCGCTCCTCCGTCGGACCGGCGCACCGGCACCTATCGTCCCGTCGCGGAGCGAGAGCGTGTTCAGGGCGAACGTCGAGACGCGCGCCGCTCCGTCAGGCCCCCGCGAGATCGCTGCCGTTCGGCTGCCGCGAGCCTCACCACACCGCCTCGGTGCGGGGCTGGCCGCACTCTGGCTGGGCCGCTGGGCCGGCTCTCGCCCCGCTGCGCCGGCCAGAGGGGGTGGCGAGGCGTGGCTGGAGGGGGAGGGGGGAGTCTTGACTAAGCGACGGCACGCGTTCACACGCTCGCCCGTGCGTTGCACCCGCACCCGCCAGCTATCAACAATATTGTTGCAATTTATTAACATAATTGATTATACCCTATCATTGCACAGATACTTGACCTCTGCTAATCCAGTGTAGAACAAGTTGACGGGTACAACTGCGAAACTTAAGAGTTCGAAACCTACACTTATCAAACTGCAATTTTCTAAGCATGAACGAAAATTTTATTTCCGAGGGTGCTTCTTTGTCTTTAAATTCTCTTTAAAACGAGCCTACATGATGTTGCAATTTACATTAAGACAGGTATGGAATAAGAAATAAATTTATGGAAATGTATGGAAAGTAAGCATACCTTTCTTACCCTATCACATGTAGGCTCGTTTGAAGGAGAATTTAAAGACAAAGAAGATGGCACCCTCGGAAATAAAATTTTCATTCATGCTTAGAAAATTGCAGTTTGAAGCGTAGAACTCTTGAGTTTAGCAGTTGTGACCGTCGACTTGTTCTACACTTGGATTAGCAGAGAGTTCACCAACGCAAAAGCCACTAAAGGATAAAGAGCAGAAGCACTGGGAATCCGACTGTTGGAATTTCACTCCCTTAGAGAGGTGCAAATAAATTTGCCCACCTGCGGGTGAGTGGATTAGAATTCAATCAAAATGAATGAATTTGGTTTATGATTGAGTACCTATTCCTATTGAGAGTTAAAGTTGAGCGGGTAACTATTTGGTCTGTTTGAAAACTAGAAGTCAACTCACATCTTACACTTTGCATAAGTATCTGTTGTTTATATTAAAATTACACTTAGTTTGTTATGATTCTTCACAAGTGCTACCTTTAACACTAACAACTTCACCAAAGCCTGAATTATGCATACAAATTTCCACGCACCATTTAAACAATGTGTGGGCAACGGCAATTCTAGGAAAATAACAAAAAAAAATTTATTACGTCACGAGATTATGGTGTGACTGAGACACGCTACGTTGTTTGCAAAACATGTCCAGAATCGCCATATTGAGACGCGTCAAGTCATTTTTTGTAAAAAACCGTTGGTTACTAACAATCGTCTGACGTACGAACCTTTGTTTACAATTTTTCCTAGAATTGCCCGTGTGCAGTGAAATACTATTTGCATATCTATGTTCCACCTGCGTTAGACAATAGGTAAAAACTTACTTGAGCAATATATTACCGGTTGTAGGGAGCAGTAATCCATGGCACTGGGCTCCTAACCCCAACACAGCTGATATTTGCAGGAACAGCTTAAAACACTGGCTATCGAAAAACATATCAGTTTTCCACAGAGAATGAAACACAAGCTTTAGGCGATCAAAAACCAGTAGAAGCACCCATTGACATTGAAGTGTTCGACACGAAACATGAAGTATAAACTTGATCATAAACTGTTACATTATTCGATTTTGGAGCCGGTCGCGGTCGAACTGCTTTTGTTTTGTTGCGGCAGGTCGAGGCCGGTGGCGCCGGTGGCGCGCTCTAGCGCGCAGGTGTGCGGCGATTGTGAAACTCGGAACAGTTTGGCATTCCCTCTGATGCCTGAATTTCTGGTAAAGTGGAAATGGCACCACATTGATGTTACCTACTTTCAAGTAATTTTGACTTGGGCGTTCTCCTTGGGTGGCCACGGCCCGAAAATGGAGGGGCGTGTGTGTCCAGGTCGCACCAAGCCCGGGTCCACGGAGGAGAAAGATCTCTCTCCACCGCAAGGAAGAAAATGAATGGAGCATCGCCTCGAGCGCCTGGAGTAGCGGCAGGCAAGGGGTAGCGGCTTGTTGGGGGGTAGCGGCATGTTGGGGGTAGAAGCATGTTGGGGGTAGCAGCAAGGTGGGAGTAACGGTAAGGTGGGGGTAGTGACCTCGTGGGAGTAGCGGCCAACATGGAGTAGTGATTAAAGGACCGCAGCACTGCTGGTGTCAGACCGAAACGAATCTCGCCTTTACTTTAATCATTTTATTTCATCTTATTTGGTAAAATGGTGAGGTTATTTTATGTGACAATTATTTCTACATGTGCGTGCGAGGTGGTGGGATGTGCGTGGACTGCACCCCTAGTTTTAAACTTTCCTACCAACCCTTCCCCCCTCCCCCACCAATACAATTGTCCTAACGCCGGTGGTTATTGGCCGCTGTCCCAACGGACGCCATGGTGCGCTGGAACCTTCGGAAAGGCGAACACCCATCGAACACCTGAAATGAAATAATGCGACTCAAAGCTTGTCGTTCGGACAGCTCGCGGACAGCTCGCGGACAGCTCGCGGACAGCTCGCGGACAGCTCGCGGACAGCCCCCGATCACGGCACTCACGCTGTCCAGGGAGCCGGTGCGTGCCAGGCTGCGGTAGCTCTGCGCTTGGAGCCGGGCGAGGCGCTCGTGGACAGCCATCTTACGCTTGTTGACCGGCGCACCTTGGGCCAGGAGAAGTATAAGGGGGAACAGGGTTGCAACTGGGCCAGCTCACCGCGCTCATCGCGCTACGTCACCCGTACCGATGTAGCTCAGCATGACGGGCAGGAAGATGAGCCCGTGCGCCGCGCCGATCACCACGATGCCCATGTACATGCGGAAGTAGAAGACGCTGAATATGGGTGAGCTGGCGAAGGCGAGCACGGAGATGCCGACGAATTTGGTGAGCGTGATCCCGGAGAAGACCTGCCGGAGTCGGGCCATGTTTAGCAACGGAAATGACTTGGCGGTGAGTTCCTGGGCGTCGCGGTGGATTCGGAGTTCATATCGTGCTCACACAGCTGCCCATCTGCGCCAGAGCGTCGGCGGCGCGCTCCAAGCGGGACTGCTTGTTGGACAGCGCGAATGAGTGCACGAGGTGGCCGCAGAACTCGATGGAGATCCCGATGCACTATCGAGCAAAGCAACGGCGTTAGCACCGCGGAGCTTCCCTTTCGAATGGAGAGCGCCCACCGAGATGTGCTCACCATGACCAGGTTGACGAGAGAGACGGCGTTCAGGGAGATGTCGGCCCAATACATGAAGGCCATCAGGTCGATGAGGATCATGGTGATGGTGACGACAATGTACAGGGCCGACCACGAGTCGAGGCCCATGAGCACAAAGCACACGACGAAGATGGCCGCCAGCGAGATGCTCAGCCCAGTCGCCGTGTCAGCCCACATGGTGAGGTACTGTTCGTAGAACACGTAGAACGTGCTGCGGGGGGAGCAAGATTGCCGGCAAATCTTTCACGCAATGTCCATTTAAAACAAAGAAAACAAACGTTTTACTAGATAACTGTCCACCTGTAGGCAAATACATCCACGGTGTCAGAGACGTTCTCTCTGCGGAGGTGGTCGTTGACGGCGTCCTGGATCCTATCAGCCAGGTGTCGTGCCTCGCGCAGCGCCGTGTAGTAGTCGGAGGGGTGCTTGAGGATAGTGTGGAACGCCATAAAGTTGGAGGCGCCGACCACGACACTGCCGTCTGCCGTTACGGAGTACATGACGGCCTGTACGAGAGAGTCAGGCTCAGACAGACAGACGTTTTGTTTGGTTAGGCTGAATCCAGAAGTAAACATCAGTGACCTTGGAGTGGGCCGCGTGCCCTGCAACCGCGCAGGACGCGTCTGGGTTGTCCTCTAGGAAGTACGGGACGTACTTGTTGAAGTCGGCGGCGCTCGGCCGGCTCGTCGAGGGGTCGAACGGAACCCGACACTCCTTACACTTTGAACCTGTGCGTTAAAACTAGAGGTCAGCAGCGAGCTCAGCCTCGTCAGCGTGCAAGCAGTGTGGGCGATCATCAGTACCACCTTTTGAATGAGGGCAGAACTGCCCCGTGGTTTTGTTCTCGTAGCAGCAGCCAGAGTGTCCCAGCCAATTCAGATAATCATCCACCCACGAGGTGCTCGGCCTGGCGATGCGCGAACTGAAACACACGTAAACAGGAGCGAGGAGGCTCGCACACTCTTAGAAGTCTGGTGTTAAAGCGCAGGCATTCATGATGCGGTCAAGATCAGGTACCAGTCTGGGGTTTTGGCTGCGCCGAACGTCTGGGCGGCCAGCGAGTCCTTGCTGCAGCCGGGGCCGGCGCATAGCGTGTTCTGGGCGGCGGGGCTCGAGTAGTTAAGGCCCTCCTTGACGACAAAGTACACAGGTGGGCCGATGCAGAGGTACTCCTTGAGGAACTGTTGCAGGGAGAAGAGTAGTAGCGGGTGAGCAGGGCTGTCCTGCACTGTGCGTGGGCGGAGGTGCTGCTCACCCTGAAGTACTTGAGCAGGTACGAGTCCTCGGGCATGGCCTGCTCCTGGTCCAGGCCCACGGGCACGTGCCGCAGCACGGCCAGGCTGCAGCACAGCCACAGGAGGAACGCCACGACGACGAAGGCGCGCACGTCCTCCAGGAGCAAGCCCGGGGCGTAGCGCCGGCTGAAGAACGCGAACAGGGCGCCGTGGCGGCCGGGATCGTCGTCATCGGCGCCGTCCTCGTCGCTCCGCGACGGTCTCCCCTCGGCCTGGCCCGGGACCAACGCCTGGGAGAGCCAGGTGAAGAAGTCCTGCTGGGGAGCACCGGCCGGCCCGGCGCCGAGGTGCCAGCAGCAACAGACGTCCAGGCGAGAGGCCTGCGGGGAGGGAAACGAGGCCGAGGTGATGAAAAACCCCGCGGGACTTCCCGGTGGTACAGTACGGCTCGCTCTCGTGCGGGTGAGTTGTCTGTCCAGGTTTCATGAGGGACCATGCTTAGAGACGGCAAACGCAAACCCTTCCGCAAAGTAATGGATCGCCCTGAACCACAGTTTTCCTTTAGGTTCATTTCAGGCCAATCACACGGCACGGCGCCTGCGAGACTCGGGGTAGGCCATCCGGCAGTACACGTCCGCACTTTCGGCAAGCTGATGCCTACCTACCAGGCGCTAAACGCGCCGCACAGGCCGAATATGGCAGTTTCTTTGCGGGAAACGACGGACGACGTTTTTCTGGTTGGCCCCATGAAGGATGAGCTTACGTTCCGCCGGGCCGTGTCGATGGAGAGCAGGCTGACGAAGCACGTCATCTGGAAGAGGAAGTCCATGACGAGGGCGCCGCCTGCGTACAGGGCGAAGGCGCGGATGGCGGGCATGGTGGAGAGCGCGCCCAGCAGGAAGCAGCAGATCTCGGACAGGGTGGTGAGCAGCATAGAGGGGCCGACCTGGCCCATCACGCGCCCGATGTGGTCGCTGATGGACTCGCGCGGCAGACGGGCTGTGCGCTCGTGGGTCATCACCAGGATGAAGATGTTGTCCACGCCGACGGCCAGCACGAGGAACGGCACCACCTGGAAGAAAGGGTAGCACATAGCGTGACGCTCCATGGGCACGGACGGCCCCCATGCATGCAGGACTGCGCGCTCACCTCGACGACGATGAGCGTGGCGGCGACGCCAACGTAAGCGTAGAAGCCCACGGAGCAGACGACGGCCGAGGCCACAGTGAGCACCCCGCCGAGGCCCAGGGTGACCTTGCTGTCGACGGGCAGCCGACGCAAGGAGGTGACCCTCCCGAGCGACAGCGCCACGTACACGAACATGGCGCAGTAGCTGATGAGGATGGTGGACGCGTCCGACCGGGAGACGCGGTCCAGCTCGTCCTCCACCGAGCGGTCCGTGCTGAACGCCACGTCCATGTAGGCGGGCCGCTCGTCGCGCGACCACGCGACCATGAACGAGACGAACTTGGCCTCCCACTCCAGGGCGGGCTGCAGCGCGCGCCGGTCCACGTGGTTGTGCACGAGCAGCGTCAGGATGACGGCGGTGGCCTCGCGGTACTGCTCGGGGCCCGTCAGGGTGTCGCCGGGCCCCAGGAAGCCACCCAGCGCGATTGCGGGGTCCACGGGGCCGCCATACACGGCGAAGCACTCTGGGTTGTACGGGTTCCTGTGGACACGCCATACCTGCCAGCACACGGCTCCCACCTCCCCTCTACCTCGGCATCAACTCCGCAGCACCCACTGGAAGCACTTTTGGAGAGTGTCGAGGTAATTTTGCGTAAAGTTGTTCGGGTCCTCGATGGTGGCGTTAAACGCTTTGGCGCTGTCCTGGAAGTAGCCCCAGACGCTGAGGACCAGGCAGTTGTCGAGAACGGCGGGCCCTCCTCGGGCGGTGACGAAGGGCGCGTAGCAGATCTTCTCCAGGCCCTCACCCTCCACCTGGCCGATCTGAGGACACGCTGTTAGTGACACCACAAGAGGCGAGCGCGCGAGTGCTCACACCCCCACTGCGCCATTCCCCACCTTTTCACTTCATTTTGCGAGGCACTTCAACCGCATAAGCCATTCACCGCGGAGCGCAGTATTCCAACTCAATTACTTTTTTAATCCGATCCTGCAGATCCAGAGCCGAGGCGAGAAACTCACGATTGAATGCGGGGCCGAACTCCAACAAACCGTTCGAGGTATTGTGCACGACTCTGTCTAGCCCGACGGCCCGCACGATCACTTGCTCCGAGCGGTAAAACGGCTCAAAGTGTTCCTCGAAGTAGTCGCGCTCCTGGCGCGAGCGGCTGGCCGGGTCGGCCCACAGCTCGATGGGGTCGGTCACGATGTTGACGCGGCGCAGCCCGGAGCCGAGCGCGGCCGTGAGCACCATGGCCAGCAGCAGGAAGGACCAGGGCGACGCCGCGCACACTGCGGGGCGCACAACGGGCGGTGAGCAGAGCTCCGGGCCGGATCGGCGGTGCCGAGGGCCAGACCGACGCACTCGCACTCACGCGTGCCCCAGGCGGAGAAGAAGCTCTCCAGGCCGTGGTCCAGGGTGGCGCCGGCGCGCTCGAAGGCCGTGGCCGTGGCGCCGCCGTCCTCCAGGGACACGCGCTGCGAGGACTCGGAGCGAGCCTCCACACCACGATCTGTGGGCGCGGCGCTAGGTGAGTATCACCGACGGCCAAGTTTTGAACAAGTCAGCGCAAGTGTATTCCAGTCCGCACCATCCTGGCCCGCCGGGCCGGGCCGAGCAGCCTCCGCCTCCGGACCTCGTTTGCGGCCGCGCTGAGGGCTGGGCTGGGGGCTCCGCTGGGGGCCTCGCTGATCTTCGCCCTCGGGGCGGGGCGTGGCAGGGCCTCCTGAAAGCGACACCGCGTGTGTGAGAAGCAGCAGAAAGCTTACTTACAAACAAATGACAACATACCTGGGCCGTGGAGCAGGTAGCAGTGGTAGGCGAGGAAGGTCGAAGAGAGGACGAGGAATGCGACGAGCAGCACGAGCACCCCGCCGTCCATGCTCCCGACAAGGAAGAGAGGTGCCCCGGAAGCGACGCACCACCAGTCCGCCGCGCAGGCAGCCGGGCAGTCGACGCACGTGCACGCCAGCGACCCCTGGCCAGCAGCAGCACGTCGAGGTCCTTCCGGCTCGGCCAGGACCACGGCCCTCCTCGCGACCCCCCCCCCCCCCCTTCTACTCACGTCTGCCTCGCCTTGGCAGGGCGTGGTGGGCGAGTCCAAGGGGATGACCCCGTCAACGACGCCGTCGTCGGACAGCTTGTAGTTGACTTGGAAGGGCACGTAGCCGTTGCTGGTGTCACCCATGAAGGAGAACCACCTGATCCAGGAGAATAACTTTTTGTTGACTTTGGCCGTTGGCCGGGCATGTGACTACCTAGCTACGAGGCCAGAGGTTGAACGAGACCTGAACGCCGAGCACATTGAGGCCCCCCAGCTGCCGCAGATGATGTCCATGGCGAGCTGGCCGGTGGCGGGGACAAACACCGAGGCGCACGACTCGTAGATGGCGACGAGTGACTTGTGGGTCACGTGGAGATCGATCGTCTTGACCGATTTCTGCCCTGAAGAGAGGAAAGGGGCGGGATGTCGTCAAAGTCGCGTTAAAGCAATAACACCCATGGTGACGCTACCCATAAGCTTGTGTACCTGAGGCCTCCGACACCAGCTCCTGTATCTTAATGAAAGCGCTCTGATTCGTGCCGCAGTTAAAGTCGCAAAAGTGCCCGACGAAGTTGCGCATGCAGGCGGGACACTTGTCCAGGAACGTCGACGCCATCCGGATCTTGGTGTCGAGTGCGCGGAGCTGGTCCAGATCGCAGCAGGTCTCGACGGTGTGCTCGTCACCTGAACAAACGCGTACCCAGCATGGGGGAGACACACAGACATGTGAACGGTCGAAACGAAATTTCGGTGAAATCCATCTAATTCACCGAACTAAAATCAATCAACTAGTGTCAACCAAATGAGTCCAGACCGGCAGGACGCGACGCACCCCCGAGATGGCTGCACCAGCGGCGCAGGAGGTAGTGGGCCTCGCCCGCGGGCAGCGCCCGGGGAGGGCCGTCGTAGGCGCAGTTCCTGGGCATGCCCGGTTCACCGCCGCACTGGCCGTACCACACGCAGGCCCCGCGGCCCGGCGCCACGACCGCGGCCAGGACGACGACGACGACGAGCCTCGGAGAAGGTGTCCCGCGGGGCGCCCGCATCGCGGCGGACTCGGCGGCTGGTGACTGGGTGGAGGTGGAGAAGGAAAGAAAGGACCGGCGCTGGCGGCCTGATCGCCTCGACTGCTGGTTTTATTGTTGCGCGGTATGGCAGTCCCGCGATGAGCCGAGCTCGCCGCTGAGCCCGCTGAGCCACGGCGCGGTACAACAAGTGAATAACCGGCTGCCGCAACGGCGGTCTCAGTCTGCTGCTCCCCATTCTACGTTGGCCAATTCCACTCCCTCGACTCCGCGGCCCCGGCCCGCTGGGACGCGGTGCGCAGGCCAAAAGGACGAGCGAAGGTCGGGCCGCGGGCGCTCTGTGCCGGTGGTACCGTGTCCCGCCGGGACACGACCACCGGGCCATCAAACATCCATAGAGCTGCGCTGCGGCCGGGGCGGGGCGGGGCGGGCTGTGCCCGGGGGAGAAATGCATAACGATCCCGTCACCGCACCCGCCCCGCCGCCCGCCTTGCCCACCACGCTCGTCCCGCCCCGGGCGAAATGACCCAACTTGACCTATTAATTACCAGCATCCTGCGATGGCCACCGCGCGGATGCTACCCGCAGCCGTTGTTGTCCCCCCGTGTTGTACAGGTGGGGCCCCGCCCCCGCTGACCCCGGGACCTGGTCGCCGTCCCCGGGAGACAGTCGCGGGCGGAAGGGAGGGGGCAGCAACGAGGAGAGGGGGCTTTGTGTGTCGCTCTCGCTCCCCAGGCGATCCGCTCGCTGCTCGTCGAGATCCGGGGCTTGACACAAATGTCAGGTGTCGAGGGCCTCGGCGGGGCGGCGCCAGGAGCCAGGGGAAGGGGGGGGGGGGCATCGGCAGAGATCACACGGTCGCGGCCAGCAGCGACTCAAGGGCCACATTGTTATTTGGACTTCCGGGAAAAATTGAAGGTAAGGAATTCTTCTGCAGCATCAGCAGCTTTATGAGGGGTGAAAGCAGGAAAAGGCGAGTGCAGAAACAAAGAAATGGCCCAGGCCAGCGGTGAGAGAAGGAGGGAGAGAGAAAGTCGTTCGGGGAAACACGGAGACAACGCGGGCAGGGACAAAGTTTGACGTCCATTATGATCGAAACTGCTGCATGCCGGGGTAGCGGAGCACGCCCCCC